TGGAAAGCGCACTTTGCTTGCCAAGGTACATTGACTTTTTCTGACCGCTACCTGCCTGCCTTTTTCAGCCTCTCCTGAGTTTCAGATAGTGCCTGACTCAACAATCAAAGCCTGAATATTTCTGTCACCACCTTTCAGGGCAAGGAGGAAGGTGTGGGGATCTTTAATACCCCACCCTGTCTCAGCTAGGTGCCTTATTGCTCCTCCTGCCTCAATTTCCCACCCAGATAGTTTGCCTGGCTTTGGAAATGTGTGACCCTGGGGTGGCTTGGTTCAAGGTCATTCCCTGTATTAATCACTCTTACACACATACACCCTTCTTCACTGGGACACAATTGCTTAGAATTGTAGGATCTCAGCCTAGAGGAGTTTTACAGACCGTTACATTTCATGTCCTTTAAGTTTGCAGGTGAGAAAACCAGGAGTCAGCCAGTCTGACTGACTGGCATTCTCAGGATTGCACCATTAGCATGCCCTTCCTTTTACTAATGACACTGGAAATAATGAAAAGTTCCTATGATGTCAGTAGAAATTGTACTTTTTTAAAAGAATTACTAAAACATGGTAGTGAATAACTTTACTCATGGAAAAAAGAAAACTACCCCCCCATCATCATTTCCTCTTTATTTCAAGACCATACTTAGATTTTTCAGATGTCTATTATTTTTCATATCACTTATTTTCACAATTTTATGACCAAATTGAATATTGTCATGAGATGACAATATTCTGGAAGATATCATTGTGGATACCAAGTCAGACACAGGTTGTGTATGTGCAGCCAGGTCCATGATGCAAGTTATTGATTTTATTTCAGTCTTGAAGTGAATGTGTGGAGTAGCCCAAATGGGTTTTTAAATAAGCAGCATCTGTTCATTTGTATATATAGATGTTGGGTCCCGCAGGGTCTATTTGCTAAGGCTGACACTCAGCAACTTGCAGATGATAGTAAAGTTAAGCAGAATACCTCATGTAATGAAAGCAATATGATTAACCTGGGTGGCATGGAGGTTGCCTTCACAGAGGTGAACAGGTGAGGAAGGCTTTCTAAGACAATGAAAAATGGAGGGAATATTTCCACCTGGAGAGGGCCAGTCCTTGTACTTTGGGCAGCCACTAGTCAGCTTCAGAAGAGTCATGGGCCAGCAAAGTCAGATCCCTGCATTTTTTTTGGGGGGGGAGGAGGGCAGAAATTTGGAGCTCTAAGTTAAATATCCTATTTTTCCCCCTCTATGTTGCTAACTCAGTTTTTTTTTCTCAGTGAGCCAATTTTGAAACGTACCACCAGTTTGTGAGCCCCAGGATCATGTTCCAGGGCAAGATCTGGGGAATAGTTGGGAAGAGGGTTATAGCTCATATCAGGGGTAAGCCTGAGTGGTACTTTGGCTGGGTAGGCTTACCATGGCTTCCCAGACCTCATAGCTTTTTATAAAATTAACCTCATTGATTAGAGCTAAGATGTGGCAATTGGTGACCTCATTCTCTGACTTCATAATCATTTCCAGGTCCAATGACACCCTGTTTGCTTCATACTTGGTTGGCACAATGACCTACTTTTGACAAGGGCATGTGAGAAGTGTGTGTGTGCATGCATGAATGGATGGAAGGTCCAGTTGCTGACAGTATTTCATTTTAAAACACAATTGTCAGTGGGAATGCATTTGCAGGATTTTCAGAGCCCTTTTGTTTGGTCTTCAATCTGGAATACCTGAAGGCTAGTTTCCTGGCCGATTAGCATTCTACACGGTTCATTTGGCTCATGCCAGCCAATAGTCACAACACCATTTGTGCCTCACAATTCTAATTATTCAATTTGGTCATAAAAACTATTGGGAAAAAATACAGTAAAAAAGAATTTTTGTCTGGGCTCGGAATGCACAGAAAGTCAACATGAATTAATGGACCTAAATAGACCTAAGATTTTCATGAAGCTGATGACCAAATTTAAGAGTGTTGTTAAGGTTTTCTGTGAATTTCATAGGTTGGACAGAGTGGGATTGTAACTTTATAGTAGTGGTGTGGTTTACAAAGGCCAATTCTCTTCAGGCTAAGAATAGTTGCAGACTGAGACAATTTGATGGAAATTTCAAGGATAATAAGCTTATTTTTGAAGTTAATGTTTTTGTGAAGAGACCTTTTATTGACAGTCTTCCCTTATCTAATTTTCTGAATAAATGCTTAAGTCCATGTCATCTTTAGTCTATATAAGCAAGTCACAGACAAGGAAATAAACGTTTGCAAATACCTATGAATATGCTACATGTGAATAGTTTTTTCAAATTTCACAAATTAAACAATTTTGTGAATTGCAGCAGCCCAGATTTTAAAACTCAATAGAAAATTCTTGCTTATTTTTGTTCTCCTCGGCTGCTGAAAGTCCATGTTACCCTGATCTTAGAGAGGAGACCCAAGTCCATATTTTGTGGAATGGGAAATGACAACATAATTGAATGAGGATTCCTTCACAAAATAGTCATTTCAACAAGAAAATACATTGTCTACATATTTACAAGGGTTAGGGTCCAAAGTTGAGTAGGAAGGGAACAATATATCAAAACTTCAGCCGAAGAAAAAATTTAAAGTGTTCACGTGGACCGGCCAGCATAAGCAGTTCTGCCAGAACACTTTTACCCGTGTGATGCACATGTTAACTCCCTGATGATGTGATGATAGAAAGACACATAAAACAGCTATTTTTCCTGGCAGAGAGCCCTCCTGTAAACCTAGAGATATTTAAATGACATATCTCAGCTGTGATCCTGGCTATATGTAAGGATTAAAAGAAGCCATTGAATTGCATAATAGATTTCTTCTGCATGCATTGCTCTTCCTGCCAGCTTCAGGCTTGAGATTTTTGCATCTGACCCATGCAATCTTGCGTTGGAAAGAATTAAAATTGGGGTGTGTGTGTGTAATAAAGTGTAATAAAGCAGTGGGGCTTTGTCTTGTTAGTTTGTGGGACATTTGTACAATGATGAAGGCCATTGTGGAAGGATAGAGACTCATTTGTCATGTTGAGAGAAATTAATCTGAAAACATACATATATATTTTCCAAGATTTCTAAAGGAATGAGAATCAACCTTTTGAGTTTCCTTTATTCTTCCATTACAAGCTGCAAACTCTGAGGCAATGTGCTTTTACTGTAATTCTGCTCTTGAGTTTTCCATAAAATGTTGCCACTTCTTTCTCTTCTCCATATGCTTTCTCACCTAAAGTGTAACAGCTAACTGGTGTCTTGTTTGTTTTGCTTACTCCTGTTATTGATTCCTTCTCTTTAATGTTAAACTGAACAGGAGCCCTGAGAAGCAAATGGGGCAGCTCAGAGCCTCTTTCTTTTGCGTTCAGACTCTTCAGATTAGGAAGAACTGGCAAATAAATAAATGAATAGTCTTGCTTTTAACCCGCCTATAAATACATGTTTATGTCTCTTAGTAATGGATTACCCTTGTGAATAAGTAATCATTTAAATTTTAATCTGTGCATCAGAGTTGAAGATATGGAATTGCTTAGGCTTTTCTCTCAAACTCTCTCTTTGATTTTCAAGATAAAGTAAATTAATTAATGTGCACTTTTCAGTTGAAGAAATGATTAAGACCCAGCTGTGTCTGTGAAATTATAAGTTATGATGCAACATAACTCAGGACTTATTAGTGCTTTCTTTTGACAGGAAGAAAAGAGACATAGGTAGCTAATATTAAAATGGTGTTCCAAAAAGCACAAAGTTAGCAGTTTGTTTGCCAAATTAACTTTCAAAGACATCCAGGTTACAAAGGTTGACATTTCTACACGCAAATCTTAAATGATTGATGAGCTACTGTAAAACAGCTTTGTTCAAAAAAGATAATCTTTGGCAGGCTACTTCAAAGACCTCTACTCTGGAAAGATGGAAAAGCTTCTTTATAAAAAAAGCTAGAAATCCATTTTATATTAATTTCCCTGATAGATCAATGTGTATTTGAATTATGTCTGAGAATTAGAATTATGTGATATTTATTGTATTAGGAGTCTTTTTTTTTTTTCCGTATCCAGCAGTTCCACGTGGGATTTTTATTTCTAAGATGTAGAAGAATTTTTCTACACATAAAGAGCATCTTTAAGAAAATACAGATGGGTAGAACAGTATATATGGCATTTTATTTACTACTGTTTCATGGCAAGGTAGTATTTAAGACTAAAATATATAGAAATAGGATGTTTTTAAATCAGTGTTACTGGTTCAGATTTTCCTTGTGGGACCCTTCACACAATCTGAAGGTATTTACTTATTTCTTTTAAAATATAGATTGTTTTATTTTATTTATATCTAAGGTCACTATAGAATTAGGCAAATGAGGGGTGAAAATCTCAGCTAAGGGGTTCAGCAGACACTACAAATGAGCAATGGGGTCAGTTGTGTGTGTTCATGCCCTGGGAATAGAGGTGCCATACCTTGGAAATTCTGTCACTTAGGTCAATATGACATATATTCTAATTTTCTATAAAGAAAATGAAAATCTTCATTACTATCAGAAATCTATTTTTTTCAATATTGGCAACTATAAGATTCTGAAAGATCCCAGGCTAGGCCCACAAAATATGTTTGGGAGATGGCAGTATTTGATCTGTATAGACCTGTTAAGAAAAAGAAGCATTTACCTTAACAACAACAACAACAACAAAGTGCTCCCCAGATGTTTACACTTTTTGGAATGCAGCGTTTCCTAAATGTGCAATAGCTGTTGTACAGTGGCCTAAACATGGTCCAGTCATAGGAACTGAGATCCTGTGTTCTGTGTTTGGAAGAAGCTTTGCAAAAGGACTTGAGTACAGGGGAGGAGGGTACAGTGGGCATAGGGTACAGATTTCTCATGGAGAACAGTTATCAGTGAATTCACAGGGGACAAGATATGAGGCAGAGGCCTTTTTGTCTCAAATTATCTTCAAAACCATTTCATTTTATGGAATTGAATATAGCTGACTTGCAAGAGGAAAAAAAAATCCCTTCTTTGCTCTTTGGCAGGGTGAAGTAGAAAAATAAAGTCTCCCCGCTGAACTACTATGAGGTCAGAAGCCTTGCTGCTATATTTCACACTGCTACACTTTGCTGGGGCTGGTTTCCCAGAAGATTCTGAGCCAATCAGTATTTCGCATGGCAACTGTAAGTACCACAAACTTGCTCGCCTTACCTTTCTGCAGACAGCCTGTGTCAGCCTAGCAAATGAATAAATAAATAAATAGGAAAGCAGGCTTAATCGTTTCCACCTGTGTAGATGGCAAAGGTAGATAATCTACCTAAGTCTAGTCAGATTGATGGGATGAGTGTTATGACTCCATCAGATGTTATGAGGACACGTGTGAGCATCTGAAATGCCCCTCAATAACCCTGCTGATGTCTCAGCTACTGCTATGTAGGAGAAGCTCACTATCATCTGAGTGTTGTTGTATTACATGTTTTCATATACAGTCAACACATGGGCATTATTACAAGATATGAATGGAGAATGATTATGTTGCTCTACTTTAGAGAAAAAAATAACTTTTTTGTTTTTTTTACTTAGAAATTATATCATTGCTAGACTTGGGTGAAGAGTGATTTTCAATTTACAAAGTACCTATTTAACCACTTATAGCTTTCTTTTGGTATTTGCTTCATTGATGAGGGTAGATACAGACATCATTAAAAATTCAGTTGTCTTCTCTTAAGAGGAAAGTCCTACCTGTGTGTTGAGTGGAACATCCAATTTACTACTTTTTTTTTCCCTATTCCCCACAAGACTCAATATTTTATCCCAGTAAAGGTAAAAGAGAACGTTTTCCCCAAGTACCTATTTTTCCAGTAATTTTCCCCAAATACTGAGTGAATCATATAAATGACGTTTAACATTAATATGGGAAACTAATGAGACCCATGAATGCCCAGACTCAATTGAACTCTGGGGGCAGAAAATAGAGATTATTTTACATAAAGATGAGATGGCAAGACTGACACATAAAACAATTAGAGAACAAAAGGTCAAAGGGCATAATTAATGACCAAATTGTGTAGGTTAATATCATCACTCCTGAAATGGCAGAGTTCCCCACACTTAAGATACCAAATAAGCAGCCATTGACTGCCATTTGAGATAAGTTATCTATCTTTGGCACCTCAGTATAGAAGAGATCCCTGCCTGGTGGGCTGCTGAAAATCGCACTTCATTGGTCACTCAAATCTGTGATAATAGAGACATGAATGATTTTAGCACTTCCTTGATGAATGGGCAAATGAAATTTCAGAGTCGTTGAAGGAAAGGCACAAGGCAACCTCATACCAAGCCCACTCGTGAGTAAAATTCACGGAGGCTTTCTAATAACATCCCAACCGCGAGTGATGTTCAGGTACTGCAGGGGTTTAAAGTGTGGGGTCTAAGCATGAATCTGTAAATGATTTTTTAGTTACTATTTATACCCATACACCTCCATGGAAAATACTGCCTTTTAAACGTGACTCATCTTTCTTTCCTGTTTTTGGAGAATTGCCAGTGACTATAGGTTTAAAGCAGAGAGATGTTGAGATGTAGGTATTTCAAAAGGTCAGATATTATTACAAATTGCCCACTCTCAGCCAAAGAGAACTGTAGGAAATAAGAAATGTACTCATTGACTGTCCAAGTCGGGGAAAATTCCAGATCACCCGACTGGCTACACTCAGTTTGACCCTATCCTGTCAAAGCCCACATTTCTGTGAGATTAGCCAATTGCTTAACTCTGGAGTGAACTTCCCACAGTTCCTAGAATGCCAACCAACCTAGCAGGGCTGCCTTCAATAGTAGATTATTCCAACTGGACGCCTGTGGAGACTGTATTTTTCTTCTGGCTCCTGGACGAAGGCTTTCGCCTCCAGACCACATTGCCTTTGTGGTGATTGATGGGAAAGCTGCTTTGAAATAGTTTTGTCCCGAGACAAGATCTTTGGCAGCCTGCCCCCTCAGGCTTAGCACTCTACACAAGATGAAAAGAAAACTGGAAGAAAAGAGCACCTTCGTGCAAAGGGTTCACTTGCAAGTTTAACCCCCAGAAATTTCTGACACTCAGAAATGGAAGTCCAGGCTTATTATCATGTGGAAATGAGGTGTAACTTGATCATCCTTAAAGTGCACTGTTCTGTCAGAGTGGTTCCTAAAATAGCAGACTTGTGTGGAGGTGGAAAATGGCGCCATGGTCTGAATTAAGCATGGTTTTGTCTTGTGGCCCACCCCCTCCTCACCCTGCCCTGTCGATTCTTGGCTTGATCTGCTTTTTCCTCTCTTGCCCCATCTCTTCTTTTCTCAGATACAAAACAGTATCCGGTGTTTGTGGGCCACAAGCCAGGACGGAACACCACACAGAGGCACAGACTGGACATTCAGATGATTATGATCATGAACAGAACCCTCTACCTTGCTGCTAGGTAAGTGATCTTTTCCTCACGTCTGCCTCAAAGTATCCGGAGGTTCAAATAGTTAAATTTGCCAGCTATGTGTCATGTTTAAGAACTTGAGTCTCCCTAACTGTGTTATTTAATTTAAAGGCTGCTTTAGTTGGTCAAGCAATCACTCTTTCAAGATTTTCTGTGTCTGTTTAACTCTGTGTGGATTTACAAAGAAATAATTGCATATTTTGGAACTTAGCTTCAAATAATCTACTGTGTGTCTTGAACATATATGCAAATACTTATCCAAGCACCCAGCAGTGCTCTGCTTTTTGATACTTATCTGTTAAATTAAGTTGAACGTGTAAATATGTATTACACAGTGTGTCTATAGGTGTGCATTATGAAACTATTTGTATTTTTGCAGTGGATATTATATAAGACTTTGAAAGCATGACAATGGTACCCCCAAAAGCATAATACTATATATATTTTTGAAGGGTTTCTCATTTTTGCCATAGTAAAAAAGAAAAAATCATCTGTGGCAAAATGGCATTTGGTCAGTCTGATATCTTCAGGCTGAATGCATGGTAAGAATATTGCCCAGACAGGGGGTCACATGGATTTGTACTTTTGTTCTAATTCTGTCCTTAATTCAGCTGGACCACAAGTTCTCTGGCTCTAAGTATTCTCTGCAGATGAGAGGTTAGGTTAGCTTAGCTTAATTGAAGTACCTTGGGATTCCAAAAATGTATGGTTTCCCATGTTCTGAGTGTGTAACTCATTCAGAATAACTCCAAATGGATCCAAGTGGGTAGCACTATCCTGTGGTATTCCTCTGTGGTCCTACCTGATTCAGCAAATTAGTCACTTCACACTGGAAAGAAAGAGAGAGAGAGAGAGAGGGAGGATATTTGTACTTGGCTATAAACACAGGTTAAAAAAAAAGTTATATACTAGCAATCCTTGATTCCTTTAAAGCAATTAGATATTCTGAGGTGACAAGTTTTGCATATTAAAAAGCCATTGGTATGATTAAAACATCCTGAAAATAACCCACATTGGTCACAGGGAGCTAAAATACTTTTAAAAAATGTTTACTTCACAAATACAGCACATATTATTATGTGCATATTATTTATGTCCATGTTTTGTAGATGTATGTTCTTTAGAAATGTTAACTTGTTCAGTGCTAGAAACAAACCAACAAGAAGGAGCTACTCTTTCCCCTCGTGTACTAGTGACGGGGGAATCCAAGGGACAGAAAGGTGAAATGACCATGCCCCAATGATAGAGGCAGGATTTAAGCCAGGGTGGCCTTGCTCTGGAGACTACACTGCCACTCCCTGTCCTGTACTACCTGCAGAGGAAGAAACTACTACCTGTCCTGAAACCACTTGTCCTGGTAATTACCTTCTAGTAGCTGTTGCCCAAGAGCATCATTGTTGTGGGTTTGCTATAAAGCTTCCCAGTGAGGTATCAGCACCTACCATTCAGGTAGCCTACCAGCTCCATATAAATAACCATTTTTAGTTTCCTAAATGTAGCAGGGCTAGATTACATTTGTATCCAATTAGCCAAAGACCAATCAAATAAATGATTAAACATTGGATCTGTGAGAAATAGGTAGACTCAAGATTTCCTGTGAGTTGTTCACTTTGCAATTGAGTCTCTGGGAGCAAAAATGGTCTAACAGGTGGCCTGTGTACCCAGTGATTTAGCATAGGTGTGGGCTGCAGGCCAGGGCAATGGAAGCTTCAGGAGCCAGGTGCTATGTAGACTTGAAAGTGCCTATTATTCCAGCTCATTAAAACCAAGACAGTTTCACCTGAACTCCCCACCCCAAGGAAAGGAAAAAGGAGAAAGAAAAACAGGCTTTTTTTTTTTTTTTTTTAAATGGGCAACAGGCTCATCATTCATTGAAGGTCAAATTTGTGACATCCTACCATTGATGTGTTGGTTTTTCACTCCATAGCCAGTTACTTCCCTTCAATACACACTCTTAGAAAAATTCATGAAGGAGTTCCATGGCTTCTATAATTAGGGGCTCTCCTTTTCACATTTCCCAACATTGCTCTGAGAGATCCATGTTCCTAGACAGCAAGTCACCCTATTTAAAGTTAAATCCTTCCTAGGCTCAAGCCATGGCAACATAACCCAGTTGTGCTTGATGGAAGAGGGAAGAAGTCTTAGGACAAGTCAGTTTATGTTCAAATAACTGAATTCAGGAAGAGCAACGTATAAATTGTGGGACACACATATGGGAAGTTGCGAATGACCCCCAACCTTGGACTATGGTTGACCATAAAGTGCTATTTTTTTTTTTTTTTTTTTTTTTTTGCTGGGACCATATGATCTTTTAGATATCGAAAAAGATTGTAGTTGTCAAAAAAGGGGATTTCATTCACAGAATTCTATTTTAAAAGGTTTCCCAGTTCTTCCAGACAATCGGTGTCAGCAGTCAAAAGCTAAGCCCCTTCCAGAACCCTGGGGACCATGGGAGGCTTGGTAGCAAGAACCCCTTTCAGTTCTTTTTTATTATTATCCACTTTGTAAATTCTTCTTTCTTTTTAATCTCTAAACTACTAATTAACATAAACAGGCCATGCCAAAAGGGGGCAATCTGAGAGCTTTCTGAGGAGTTGCCAATGCATATTAATCAGTTGTTAATTTACAATTCATATATTCAGCTCCTACTTCAGTTTGGAGGGGAGGCTGGGCAAGGAAAGGCTTAGAGCCATCTCAAACCTGATACCAAGTCACAGACACATTCCAATCATGTGCTTGGCCACAGCACCACCATAAAGTCAAGCAAGTAATAAACTAATGCAGTAAACTGCCTTGAAATTAAAGGGCAGGGTGATTATGGCACCCTACTGAAGTTTGAAGAAGCTTCCCAGTTCAGCAGTTTACAAAACAGGCGCCTCATTCTCCCCCTCACCACTCTTACACACACGTTGACATACAGTTCATGAGCAGGCAGGAAGTTGTAAGACTACAGTCCTGCCCCCTCCTTTATTTTCATATGAGAAGCCTGTTTTTTTTTTTTGTTTTTGTTTTTTTTTTGTCTGTTATTTTTTTTTTTAATTTTTTATTGTGGGTTGTTCAAAACATTACAAATTTCTTGACATATCATATTCCACACTTTGATTCAAGTGGGTTATGAACTCCCACCTTCACCCCATACACAGATTGCAGAATCACATCAGTTACACATCCATTGATTTACAAATTGCCATACTAGTGTCTGTTGTTATTTTTATTTTTCTCCATTGTGCTTTTCCTAGAAGCAAACGGATTTCCCAAGAAAGGAAAACATATTTGTGTGTGTGTGTGTGAGACTTGTGCAAATAATTCCTTTCTCTTCTTCTTCTTCTTCTTCTTCTTCTTCTTCTTCTTCTTCTTCTTCTTCTCCCCCTGCCTTTCCTTTTAAGCAATGAGGGGGCTTTAAAGTCTACACAGGAGCCTTGAGGTCCTGGTTTAAAGCTGTGGATAATTTTCCAGCCCCAGGACTTCCTGTATTTAAAAAAAAAGTCAATGTTATTTCAAGGGAAAATGAGCTGTTTGGCTTTCCTTTAGTAGCCCCCCATCTCCTCTGTTGAGTATAGTTCTTTTCTTCTCTTTCTTCTAAATTCCAGACAAAAACGCCCTTGTACTCTGCTCACACAGAAGGGGAGGTTTAAATATAGCCCCACACCTGAGCTGCTGATTCTGTTTCTCCCCTTCCAAGGGAAGATTGGCAGCAAACCATAAAGACAACCAAATTCTCAGCAAAACAGGAAGGTGAGCAGAAGCAAGAAGTGTAAACTTTAACTCAAGTATATTTCAGATTTTAATTGACCATCATTTTGTAAAGAAAAGAGTAGCTTCTGGAAAGAATTTACCTTTATCATCTTCCATCTTGTCAATCAAATCATCAAAGCTAAGACTGAAAATATATTTCCTAAAGAGAGATGGAGATGGAGATTAGCTTTGTTTAGCCTCTCTGATGAACAGATGTAGCATGCTGAATACCAAGCATTTGCAGATATGGAAAGGACACGGGAATCCATCTGGAACCTTTGGGCCAGTTTAATCTCCAGAGTCTTCCCACCTTAGTTGTAGCTATAAAGCTGCTCTAGTTCTGGTGTTAGAGAAAATGGTGACTATGGAAATTGTTCTTTAATGATGTCCCAGGGAGCTAGATGCCATGATATTTCTGGAAGTGTTTCCAGGGGTAGTTCTTGTATGCTAAGTTCTTCTTTCCTTTTTCCAGCATGTAGATGTCATGTTGTTAAAAAAAATCATGGGTATGGACTTATCTGCCCTCAATGAGATACATTATTAAGCAGAAAATGACCTGTCTTGATTCTTGTTTGATCTTGTATTAATTTTGCTTTGTTTGTAGGGACCATATTTATACTGTTGATATTGACACATCCCACACAGAAGAAATTTACTGTAGCAAAGTAAGTAGTTTCAAAACCATCTCCTAAAATGGAGGAGCTTAGTGTAGTTTTTGAAGATAATTTATATTTTAAATGCAATGTATCATGGGGATGATGTAGCTAAATTTGGAAGTGGCAATATGCTTTTGTAAAAATCTTAATTTGGGGGTCAGTTAGGATTTAACATGCATTCAGAAACAGGTACTGCATACCATATGTGTGCATATATGTTTTGAAGTTTCAGTTAATTTTCTAAAATCCTTTAATAAAATAGCACCTGATTATCTAGGAAAATACCAATTTTCATAAGATTTTTTTCCTATGAATATATTCCACAAATGTTTCAAAGTTAATGTTTCAAGGTCTTGAAATATGAAGTTTTATTTGACTATTGTGAGTTAGGAACTTGATCATTATGCATTTCAGATAGACATAAAGTCCAGCTTAAGCTTTCGTCACAGCTCCATGTGGGGATATTTTAGTTTATAAAATGTGTGCCATTGAAGTAGGCAATTGGCCCATTAATTCATGTGAAAGAGCATAACCTGAATTAAGTCTTTGTCCACCTGAAGTGAATGTTCCCTTTATGTTTAAGGAAATGACTTCCATATTTTAAGGAAAAAGGCTCCTTTACAAAAAAAATTGATTTACCAATGGAAAGGACAAGTGCATGTGTTTTATCAAAATGAGCATAATTTAACAAGTTAATTTGGATTGTTTATGTGAAATTTCCATGCTGTTGTTTCTTCTTCTTCTCTTTCTCCTTTATCTGTAGCTCAAAGAGAAGACCATTTTGTAGTTTAATGAATAGATAGGAGTTCAAAATTAAATGAATGTTTCCATCTCTAATCTTTTGTTGTTATGGTGAATTAATCATGGGGAAAAGGGTGTGGAAAGCTTTCAATAAATATATGTTCAGCTTCTAGTCTCCCCAAGGGAACTCTTACTTCTAAAATCAAATGTAACAACCTCTGGGCTCTAATTGATTTCTTTCTTGATCCCTGCAGAAACTGACATGGAAATCTAGACAAGCTGATGTAGACACATGCAGAATGAAGGGAAAACATAAGGTAGGCAATTTTCATTTCTCCTGCAGCTGCCACTTTGGGTTAAGTTTTTGATGTTATCTCCACCGTGGACTGTGATGTAGTATGCATCATGTGATTCCCTTTTCCCCAGTAATTGCTTTTTCCATCAACTTATTGAAGGCTTTAATTTGCAGAAATAGTTTGCTTTTAATGTGATGAAACATTACAACAGCTGCTAGGACAGCATCATGAACTCCTTAGGCACTCTCAGGATTACGGACAAAAAGCTGGCTGCCCAGGTCTTCTGAGTGCTCTGTGTGATAGCCCACCTCACAGGCAAGGGCCCTGTGGGAATCTGGGGAAGTGCTCATAAAAGGCTGCCTCAGACATGTAGGCTTTTTTTTTTTTTTTGCCTTTGGTCATATAACAACATAAAAACACACTTCAGCCAGAAGGCTTGTACATCAAGGGACCCCAGAGCATCTGGCATTAAAATTAATATGATGGGAGACTGGCACTTCCAGCTGGCCTTCTTTTTGTGGCATAAAATAAACACACATCCTCCCATTTGATGCCATCTTTTTTTTACTGCTGAAACAATGGTTATCAACATCATCTTTTGGTTAACATCAGGAGTAACTCGAACTTTTAACAGGGCAACTCCTCCACCATTTTCGCCATAACATAGTATGAGCAGATGGTGGGCCTTGGTGACAAATGGATTTCTGTGTTGAATGGACTGGGTACAAAACAGTTTGAATTATTTTGCAGGATGAGTGTCACAACTTTATTAAAGTTCTACTGAAGAAAAACGATGATACGTTGTTTGTCTGTGGAACCAATGCCTTCAACCCTTCCTGCAGGAACTATAAGGTAAATGCTATTTGTCTGTTGGAACCACACAGCCAGGAGGTATTTCATAATTTACTGTGATTGTACCCACAGAAACCTAAGAGGGGTAATTTAATACCACCTGGGTTCCTCTCACTTGTTCAACTTAATGTATTGCTCCACATGAGTGATCCTGAGCAGGTTTCTAAGCTTCCTGTTTGTTCAGGATTGATTGACACATCTTTAAAGAGCATACCCTGCAAAGGTAGTTTCTCTAAGACCTTATTCTTTATTGTTCAGAAGTCCGACATACTGACCACGTGGAATTACCATGTGGATTTCCTCTCTGTCTCTCTTTCCCTTTCTCTTTCTCCCTCCAATCCCACAATCTCCCCGCTGAGCACAAAAACACACTTAAAAGGTATCTCAAAAGCATGCCATTTAAAACTGTAGACTTTCCTCTTGGTAAGATTTTCAAGAGCACAGAAATTTGATTCCATTTAACACTCATCTTACTTGACCATGACCTTACTTATATCGGCCTTTATAAAAGGAAAAAAATAATGAATTCTCAGAGTTGGTAAATCTAGTTAGCACGCATGCAGCTGATAGAGGGGCTGCCAAGGAAGCCAGGCGCTCACCAGCTGTGGAAGCAGACGTAGCAATGGTCTAAGGTCGTGGCTCCACATCTGTTAACTTTCCTTGTCCCTTCTGTTTGCTGAAGATTTTACTCAACAAGCATTGAGTTTTTACTGTGGCCAGGCACTGACAGATAGGAGGCTTCCACTCTTAGGAAGCCAGACAGGGAGAAGAAAATTGCAATTCCATGGGCTTGCTGCCATGGGACACAATGCAGAAAATTGCTGAAGCACAATTACCCTAGCCTGGGTGAGGACTTGAGGCAAGCCACAGGAAGAAGGTAGGATGCCTCCTTCTCTTTAGAGTTCCTGGCTGCTGTTCTCATGCCTGGAACACAAATACCCTCAGCCCATAAGAAACCCCGAGGCTCTACAAGGAACCACATCTGGGGTTGTCCAGAACTTAATGTGGTACCTGCCCATCAAGTGCTTGTTAGTTTTTGTGGAATAAACATGAAGAAGGTAATGCCTTACCTTTGCACTAAGGATAAGGAGAAGCTAGCCAAATGAAGGAAGAGGACACTACAAGTAGGTGAGCAGTGTGAACAAAGGCATGAGAAATAGCCATTAGGCTGGAGAAACTTCATCTGGTTCTCAGTTGCTAGAATTTGAAGTGACAAGTGATAACAGAAAGAAGCTAGAGAGGTAGATAGCTCAAAAGATGAAGGCCAGACAATAGATTCAGGATATACTTAGGTGACAAAAATCAGGAGGATTTTAATAATTGATAAGGAGCACAGGACAAGGAGAGCAAGAGCAGTCAAGGATGACTGCTAGGGTGTCCCTTGGATGGGGCAGTTAAGAGAATAAAAGAGATTCAGCAAGGGTGGGGTGGAGGTAGTAAGAATTGGGGGTTTTGCTCTGAATGTTCTAAGGAAGGATGAAACTGGGGGCCGGGGGGCGATGCATATGAGGAATGAACAGAGATATCCAGCATGGAAATAAGCCTTGATTTGGGGAGAGATATAGGGAGAAATATAAATTTGAGTCTCTGCATCATAAAGTACAATCCTAGGGGTATAAAGAATGAAAAAAAGCAATGATAGGCTGGGAAAAGAACCACTGGGCTCGCTGCAAAGATCCTCCTGCCTTTTCTTAACAGAGAAATGAAGGGAGGGTCTGGTTTACCCTCATGCTCACCTTCCCCCATGTGCTTAGAAATGGATACCAGCAGGGCCAGGGTTAGGGGAGGCAGGTGAGGCCCTCAGCTCTGATGCAAAATATACAGGAGGACCCCCCCAAATGCAGTAATTAAGATAAATTTGATTTTTTATGTCATCATTTTTAAAAATCAAAATTAGAATGAAAATGTCTATCGTGAACAAAAGATAAAATTTTAAAATAAAGGCAGGATTCATTAGTTCACAAGCAAGGCAGCCCAGCCAGCCCAACATGTATTCTATCCAATGACTGCAAGCTCAGGTTTCAACTCTACCACTTAATATTCCATCCCTGTTTGTCATTGTTTGGGACTCATTTAGATTAATGCTCCTAACACATCCCAAAGAATTCCCCAGCTAGAAAGCTATCTTTTATGACAAATTACGGGTTTCCTTGGCACTGTGATACACTGGCCACGAGAGGTCTAGCTCATTCTTTTCAGGCATGTTCCATTTCCCATGGTGCCTCACCTATAGTGAGCGCTGTCACCTCAGCTTGTTCTAGCCACACCTGCAGAAACATATTGTGGGAGTCTGGGCCTCTCAGAGCCCACACATGGGTTGCTGTTCATGCTCAGCCCCTGCTATATTCCTAGCACTGTAAATGGTCGTAAGTTACCCCTGGCATTGCTCAGAAAGGTGTTCTCTTGGACTCAGGGCACAGTATGACTTTGCTAATGACATGGGACACAACGTATGTGGCTGCAGGGAGAATGACATTCTATCTCTAAAGTGCTTTTTATCAACAGATCAGGACCAAAGATGCAAAGCAAAACCAGTTAACTGGTCTTCCACTGAAAACTTCAAGTCTCATCACAGCACAGAAGTATCCATTTGGTTAGAGTAACTTGAGACAGGAAAGTGACAAATGTTCAGCTTCTTTCTCTGTACCATGGCCTGATTTATACAATTTTTATATTTAAAAAAAAAAAAAAAAAAACCAGTGTTAGAAAGATTAGAGCCCTAAACAAGATTACCTGGGAGAGAATTTGAATACTATGAACTTGAAGGTATAACTCCACTCTTCATCCCTTTTCCCTCTAGGGCTCTACACCTCTTGAACTTTCTGCAAAAGTCAGGCTGGTTATTTGTATCATTATCTGTACCCTGTGGTGATTTAATTTCCCAGGGGTTGCTGTTAAGTCTGAGATTTGATGACCACTATAAGGATTAATTCTTCATCGAAAGAGGATTTCACTCTGCCATTGTTTTATTTCTGGACTTTTCCAGAGTTATGAACCAATGCATTAATTCTTCACAGCTTCTTGCCTTTGACTAGCTTTAGCTATAACAACTTTTTTTTTTTTAAGGAAAGGTTACATTTAAAAATTAAAAAAAAAAAAAATCCTATTCCCCTTTTATACAGTTTCCCCATTGCTAGGATCAGAATGAGCACTACTGGAGGTGAGGGCATTTCCGTTGCCTCATTGTGTGCTAAGCATCATTTCTGAAGATGTGCCAGACCCACAGACCACAAACTCTGTCACAGTTCAACAGAAAGCTCTTGTTGGGATAAAATATCTGGGAAAGACTTTCATAAAGAATGTGCTGGGGGTGGGGTGGAGTACATTGCTTTAAAGGATGTCTGATTTGCCCTAAAAACGTATGTATGTTTTAAACTCAACTAAGCTATAATTTAAAAACAGATGACTTCAACAGGGCCATCTTCAAGTGATTCCTGATAGGAAAGTCCTGTTCCATCTCTGACACTGGGCTTTAAGGCAAAAGCACAGAAGATTTGACAGCACTGAGTGCTGCTCATGAGATCCTCTCTTTCCTTCTGGGAAACACCTCAAGCTCCTTGATTTGGGGGAAGCTTGATGTAGCACCAATCACCAATGGCCTTTGCATAGATCTGCCCTCAGCACCAGTTTACATCCTTTTAGTTTTCAAATGTGTGGTCAAACCATGCAATTCCCTGATGATAAACAAAGTATCCTTAAACTGTAAAGAAGATTGAACCACAAATGGGTATAGAAACATTAGCGATGTGGAGATCGTTTTCTGGACTTGGTGGTACTAAGATTTTATATGCTAGAAAGATCCCACAGAGTAAGAAGAGAGACAGCATGTCATAAAGTAGGAGCCACTGTGTCCCTGATCAGGGTAGGCCAACCTCTGACCAGCACAAGGGGATTAGTTCTTGGTCACAGCACAGGCAATTGTGGATTAGAGAAAGGGGTTTTTCCTCGAGGCTATGCAGAAGGCCAGGCTTCCTCCTGCTCAGACCTCTTGTAGGGTCCTAGAATCCTTAATATCTGGTGTGGAGAGAGAAAGAGCAAGATGGAGGCCACTGGAAGGTTTTCAGGGTCAAGTCCAAGAGGTGGTATGCAGCCTCACATTCACATTCTGTTGGTCATAGTGTGGTCACATGGCCATGTAGAACTGCAGGGGATGATGGGAAATGTACTTAGTGTGATCAGGAGGAAAGGCAAATGGGATTTTGGTGAACAACCATGGAGGCTTTGCCACACCCACAAATGCTCATGGAGTCAAGTGTTTGTATTTCCTTTGGAGAAGTAAAGGTGAATGATAGCTACTTGGTAAAGAAGGCCCTGAATTGACTTTTTAAAATAAATAAGAAATCCAGGTGTTTGCCCCCCAATACTACTTTGACCAAACAAAACTTACCAGCAGGCCAGTAATAACCTCTAACCTAAAGAAACAGTGCCCTGAGTGGGGCAGCGGGAAATAGAAGTCAGGGGCTCAGTCTCTCACTGCTCTGACCTTTGTGAGCCGTTCAACTTTTGGGCCTCTGTTTTCTAAACCTGGGCCATTTGCAAAATCACTTTCAAAGCTGCTATCCTATGATGCTGAAGCATGTGCAAAGTCCACCCCGTGTTCTGCTCATATTCATGTTCTTGCCACTTTCCTGATGCTGTATCATTCTGCCAAGTAACCCAAGGAAAAATTCCAGTGTCTTCTACTAGGATTTAAGCCACAAAGGTAGGACTCATCATGCAAAACAAAACCAGAAACTAAGGTCATTCTCTAGAGTTCATGACTCAACAGGTAATTGGGACAGGTAGCTTTTCCCAGGGATTACCTCAGAAATTCCTTGGTTTAGAATGTTTATTTCTAAACCATTTCATTAGGATATGGAGATATATTTATTGTAATAGTTAAGGGTCGAGCAGACATAACCAAATTTTAGACTCTCCTAGCTATAGAAACTTGGTCAAGTGACTTAATCTCTTTTAGCCTGTTTCTTCATCTGAAACACATAGATGTGCATTGGAGGGTATTTATAAGGACATTTGCAAGTATGTATTTGAATTACTGTACACATGAAGTGTTTTATAAGTATCAGTTCTGTAACTATTGTTGGTGGTTGTTGTTTATAAACAAGTTATATTATTGCATTTAGATTGATACTTTGGAACCTTTTGGGGATGAATTTAGTGGAATGGCCCGATGCCCTTATGATGCCAAACATGCCAACGTTGCGCTGTTTGCAGGTAAATGACCCGATTTCTTCTTATTGCATTTGCTTTTGCGTGTTTCAGCCTGTCGCTGAGAATCTGCTCTGGAGGATTCATGGAGTCATAGTTGTAGCCTGATTCTCTGGTGAATACTGTAATTAAGAGTGCCTTTTCCATTTGAAATTAGTATGGAAATTGTACTTTTGCTTCTCTAAACAAGTCTTTGCCACACTTACCCATATTTTTGTGTCTGTAGAAAAGGATAACAGCTCAACATTGAATATGCAATGGCAAGTTTGGGCTCAAATAATAGAAAATCACACCTCAAACCATGGATGTGGTTTAATGTTTGAAGTCAGGTAGACTTTGGGATTGATCAACAACAGTATTATCCCCGATGCTGCTGCTTGTCATTTCCCGCCTCTGTATCAACTCCATTATGAGACTGGCTGCTGCCCCAATTAATGTCTTCTTATCTACATATAGAAGGGAAATGAAAAAAAGAACAACAAAAAAAGGAAACTTCTGGAATCTCACTCAGAGCAGTGAGGCCACATACCCATAAACTTCCAGCAAAATCTCACATATCATAGCCTGATTAAGCAATATGTCTGTCTCTGGTCCAAAGGTCCTGGTGGTTTAGAGGGTGATATTGATTGCTGAAGTGGGCCTGTACTCCCCCACCCCACACCTTCTCTCTGCTGTAAAAGATATAAAGAAGCAGCTGATAAGCCATCCTTTTAGTAGGATTTTTGTATATGAATGTGTTTTAATTAGGAATTTATTTAGGAATTCATTGCCAGCTGTGTGTGTGGAGGTGGGTGTTGAGAGAAGTGTTGGTATAACAGTGATTGTTATAGCATGTAATAAAGCAGTTAACTATAATTTCCATCACAACAGCTAAAAACTGGCACATCCTAGCTGTGTAAGGGACTTTAGGGTTTTGATTATGAAACAAGATTATTTCCCAGCTCCTTGAACTTCATCCTCAGAGTTACCCATTTGTGGGTCTGAATCTTTAGTCATAGATTGTAGAAACAGAAAGTTTCCTGGGGTTTTCCTGCTAAGTGAGAGCCTGCTTCTTTGAGAAACAGCACTTCACTGCCACAAAGTCTCCTAGACTAATTTGCAAGCATGGGCAGGAGCAAAGCCAGGGCAAGAGGACTTGAGCATATTCTAAAGTGCATACCTATACCGAATACCTCTCTGATTCTAGAACCTGCATTAGTTGGGACCTTGGAGGATGTGGGCTGAAGGAGAGAATTTTAGTTTAACTGTAAAATAAAAAGAGAACTTGTAGCCTGAGGTAGAAATGAGAGACAGCACTGAGTGTTTACTGAGGCCAGTATGTTTCCAAGAGCTATTGAGAACAAATACACAATATGAAACTATTATTTTCCCCACCCTAAGATGTACATCTGAAAAGTTTCCCATTGGAATGTTTGAAATCTCATGAAAGCTCAGCCCTATTTGACTCAAGATCTGCACTGTGAGTGGATGGTGGCATAGCATCAACAATGGCAGAATAGTGTTCTGTTTTACAAGGAAAGTTCTGGTCAGATACCAGTATTGAGTGTAAAACAGAGTCCTGGAGTGTTATTAAAAGGAGGAATAGCCATCCCCATAGCCCACACTCCTCCCCATGTTCCACTGTCCCTAAAACCCAGGCCTATCTTTATGACATAGGGTATAAGAATATAGAATATATATTCTATGAGAAAGCTTGTGATTTATAGATATGTGCTTGTCAATGCAAAGGTTTGTGGTCTGCAGATTTGAACAAAAGTACAATCAGAACTTCTTAATGTAGAGTTGATAATTATGCAGATATCAAGATAGCTCTTAGTTAAATCTGAGCAAATTTTCGTTATTTTAAGACCAAAGGTAAAAATAAATATCTTTGTTTAGGTTTTGATCATCTTTTTATTTTTAAATATGGTAGAACTTAAAAAGTACTATATTGTCTGTAAGTCACTTTGGCATCTAATTAGTGAAATTATGTAATTCATTAAAAATAAAGCCAAGAAGTCATTGTTTTATTTTTGGGTATAACTATTGTTTCTATTTAGTCTATATAGATTTTACTATCCTAGAACACCCCAATTAGTTATTTGTTTGCAGAGTTTGTTAATCCAGGAAAGAACCAAAAGTTTTAGGGACCATCTCCAGTATTTATTCTCTTTTGCCTTGGATATATCCTCAAGCATCCCTCCCCAAAAGAATAAGTTCTTAAAGAAAGGCCAGTTTGAACTCAGCCTCTCCCATCCCCTTTCTTCTTTGTTTTGGAATTTTGTAATTTATAATGTTTTCAGTTTGTGATTTGTGAAATCCTAAAGCAAATATCTGTAATTTAAGGTAGATTGGCGGGGCTTAATGAAGTCGTTTGACCAAGTTAAAAAGGAGTGCTGACCCTCAGGATAGAAGCAGGAATTTGGTCAGCCCCTTTGTGCTTATGAGCCTTCTCTGTTCAACTCTGCACACCTGCCCAGGCTGAGGACTCCCTTACCTCTGCCTGGACTTAAATTTTTCAGTGATAACATCAGCTTCTATCTTTCCCTGGGCTCCTACCTAATCCAGTTTACCATGGTGTGGTGGCAATAGCAGCATCCAAGGGTCCTTGGCCTTGAGATTTCAGTCAAGGTCCATCTAATCAAGTGCAGCAAACAACATTTTTCATTTACTCTGTTCCCTGAGCTGCTGCTGCTTAGAAAAATTGCCATGCAATTTAAAAAATGAAAAATGTTTCATCTCTCATGATCCCAATTTAAAATGGTTAGGAATATGGGCCAAGTATTTTCCTCGCGACTCTTGGATTTATCCCAGTTGTCCTATCTCATTTGCCTGATGTAGGAAAGCAATCTGGGGGATGTCTTCATTATTCCCCATCCCCACTCTCTTGCTTGCACCCTGTTCACCTCTTTTCTTTTTCTGCTAAGATGGAAAACTATACTCAGCCACAGTGACTGACTTCCTGGCCATTGATGCAGTCATTTACCGGAGTCTTGGAGACAGCCCTACCCTGAGGACCGTCAAGCACGATTCAAAATGGTTGAAAGGTGAACATTTAAAAGAAGAAAGGTGTTGCGGGTGGGGAGTACATATCTTGTGGGAGATATAGAGTCTGCATGGACCAGACTGTAAATTCATTTTAGTAATGGTTTCTGACAGACCAAACCATGTAAATTGTATCTTTCACCTCCACTGATTTATTTACCTCCCTTTTTTCCTTCCCATGAGTTTCTGGAGTATTAACAAAACTACCAGTGCCACAACAATAGAATATGTTACATTCATCTTCCCCTGCCTGAAACTCTCATTTTGGAGTCCCACATGAAAAGAACTGAATAGTTCATTCACGAAAGAGAACAGGGATTGGAGGTAGTGGGGAATAGGAAAGAGGCCATTCACAGCCCTGTGAGTCAGGCTGACCAGGCAATGTGTACAAAATCCTCTCTGTAATATGGGCATTCCATTGTGGAAAATAAAATTACAGAGATTTGCAAAACCCATTTATTCTTGATTGTTGATTGCAAAGCTTCTGAAAGATATAATTTGTAGGCTTGAGTGCCTTCTGAAATCACTAGCACTTGCAAGTGTGAAGTCATTAGAAATGGTTAGTGTTCACCAAATGTCTAATAGCCCTACACTTTTAATTAATAACATGTCTTTGGTTGCACTTGATTAAAATTCTCTTAACACTATGTGACATGTCCCCAATTAAAGTGTCTATTTGTCTACAGAACCATACTTTGTCCAAGCAGTGGATTATGGAGACTACATCTACTTCTTCTTCAGGGAAATCGCTGTGGAGTACAACACCATGGGAAAGGTAAGTGGGGAGGGTGCATCGGGCTATCTCGAAGCCCTGTAGCCTTTTCAGAGCTATAACAAATTACAGGGAACCTCTTAAACATTTCTACTTAAAATCAAACCAACAGATGTTTGGTTAATTTCATACCAAATTCCAAGTAAAAACATGTGGTTTTTAGGTACAGTTTTCCTTTTTAATTGAGTTGCTCCTTAGGGAGACTAAATATCCAGTATCTTCAAGCAAATTGAGTCTTGATATATTTATTATTTTCTTTCTTGCAAAAAGTGATAGAACAGTGAGGGGATGTCTATTTTATCAGTTATTTTTACCAGAGAGTAGATCAAGGTCACTAAGTTGGAGGACACAAATAAAAGGCCAGGGTGGCTTGCACAATTAGAGGAACTCACACTCTAAGGATGAGAGTCAGGCCCCAGAGGCAGGCAGTGAGGATGGCAGAGATGGTGCATACAAAGTGTGCTTTTGTTTGAGGAAATAAAAAGCTAAGCAGTCTGTATGGAAATGAGTTTATGTGGCTGGGAGCTGATCCCCTGAAGGATTTATAGCTCTGTATTAAATGCCACAGCCTTATCTTTTAAAACAAGCTGTTTCAGTGCTGAGTTTTCCTCTTTTTTTTTTTTCTTTTGCTACTGATTTTAGAAACACAATATTAAATTAAGCACCTTGTTGTTCTGTTTCTGTTGTCAAGAAAAGGCAAATTCTAGTACGATCTTCTCACAAAGTGCCTGCATCTCATTTTCCCTGTGTGTTTTTCCTCTGCAGGTTGTTTTCCCTAGAGTCGCTCAGGTTTGTAAGAATGACATGGGAGGGTCTCAGAGAGTCCTGGAGAAACAGTGGACATCTTTCCTGAAGGCTCGACTGAACTGCTCAGTGCCTGGAGACTCTCATTTTTATTTCAACATACTCCAGGCGGTTACAGACGTGATCCATATTAATGGCCGTGATGTTGTCCTGGCAACCTTTTCCACACCTTATAACAGGTAACTATGCCCTGGCTGTGTTGACCTAAATCATTTCTTCCTGGCTCCCTTTTCCCACAGGGCTTCTGTTGTAATATGTAGTGTTCACAACTGACAGAAAATTTCTATTCACTCTTTGTAGCTAAGAAGCACTTAACACTTAGTTTTCAACAATGAATTAGTTGGAATTTACAAGCATTATTAAAATAGGATTTTAGGGGAAATAAATTATAACAATATGCTCTATTCATATTACTGGCATGTAAACACTTTTCATGTGTTATTCCTAAATCCCTCCTCTAATCTTGGAAATCCGATACTGTTGTTCTCTTTTTACACTCAAGGAAACTGAGCTTAAAATATTAGATTACCTGGTCCAGGTAGTCAACAATGGAAGAAGCAGTTTTGGAACTAAGAAATGTTTTTCCCATCTTAGCACATGTAGCATTCCAATCGACTTGTAATATTTCCATTAATTAGCTAGGTATCTTTTGAAATAAAAACACCAGAAATATATTAAAATGCAACATTATGAAGTTTAGCATTGACATGAATCTGTCCAGCATCCCATCCAGGGATATGGTGACTGCCCTATTTGAGGAAGTCACCCTTGGGTGACCTCACTCAACAACTTAGATCATGGCCCAAATCCCAAACTTAGCTCTAGTGAGGATTTATAAGTCATCGAAAACTATCCCTAGAGATATTGGATATCAGCGTATTCATTCCTATTTTTGAATTTGGTTAAGCTAAGCATGGTTAAGCTAAGACACTAATAATTGGCCCTAGAGCAGTGAAAACTGTATGGATATTACAGAATAGAAGGAAAGTACGGGGTCCCTGGTACTCAGCTCTCCATGAAGCTACAAAGCTATCACAGGTCTAGCACTGTTGTGTGAAAATGATCCTAACTCTGGGTATGGTCATGAAATCTGAGTTTCTCTACCATGTTCTGTGTATAATTTCTGATAGTCTAGATGGAATATCATCCTCTAAGAATACAATGTTTGTATTCTGCTTTTTACAAAGACTCTTAAGAACTTGATGAGTGCTACATGACAGGCACAAAAATGATGAGACTGGAGGATAGCATCTAGAAAGAAGTGCTTAGGAATCAGGCAGAGCACAGAAAACAGCAAGCAGAAGGTGGAAATCATGCTCCTCAATTACATGGAGGGCAAGAGTCAAGAGTTTCCCACTGAAGATAAATGAAAATATGAGTCTATATTGCAGCAAGAACTATTTGATTAGATTTAGGTAAGCTTTAACCATCTGTAGGGATTTTTAGACTTGAGAATAAAAAAATATATTTAAAAAATTAGCTCTTGACTGTTCTTATATAAAAACCCATCTATCTAGGATTTTGTAGAGGCATACTGTGTTTGTCAATGGGAATTCAAGGGCTAGTGGGACTTAAAAGCACATTTCTCCTTTGGGGTTTTATTTTGGTTTTTAAAAGTATGAGTTGCTTTGTAATTAAAATCCCATAATGGGTTCCCTTGTGTTATAGGTACTCCATCTGAAGTATTTCTTAAAGGGTCCCTAGGAAATATCCACTGGGATGTTTATGCAGTCTCAGAAATTATATTTATTATTCAATAAAAATCAGAATATGGTAATCTAGTTTCCCATTTTAAAAATATGCATACCCATTTTCACTTATAAATTACAGTCCTTCTCTGGCTTTCCTCCCTCTGATTTTATCCCTTTCTACTCCATGTCCGCATAAGCAAACTAGTGTGTCAGGTTGTTTCCTATCCTTAAGGGGCTCTCTTTACCCTGAGGAAGAAATCCAAGCTCCTTGGCATGGCATGCCAACCCCCTTGTGGTGTGGCTCCCTTCTCTCTTCAGCTTGTCTTCCTTCCATCCTCTGCTACAAAGCCTGTGCCACTAGCCTACAGAACCAAAGTCTGGTTCTAGAATGTGCTGTGCTCTACATACATGATGCTCTCTGCCATGTCTGCCTGTCCAAACAACATCTGTCCATTGCAACCCTGTGCATGCTCCAAGTCTTGGCTGAGTCACCTCCCGTGAAACTCTGTGCACCTTCTTTATGGGCTGCTTTTTACAAGATTGCCTTGGAGTTGTTATAATTATACTTGCTTCCACACTGAACTGTGAGCCAAATGAAGGAAGACCTCTATTGGTCATGGGGCACTTATTGCTTTAGATTAGGAATTTCAGAAATACATGTTTAATAATCAGAAGTTGGAAAGAAAGGAATGGAGATAAGATGACAGGAAGGAAGGGGAGGAAGAAACAAAAAGACTACAAATGATTCTAACCTTGGGAAGATTATAAAAACCCCAGATTCCTTAGTTATTATGGATGCATCATAAAATTTCTCAATCAATTTATCTGATGTTTCCTAATATGGAAGGTAAATATGTAAACTTGTTGCATTTAGGAGAGAAATAAGTAAAGAGTATCTTAAAAAATTAAGTAAACAGGGCCAGGGATATAGCTTAGTTGGTAGAACGCTTGCCTTGAATGCAGAAGGCCCTGGGTTCAATCCCCAGAACCACAAAAAAAAAAAAAGAAAGAAAGAAAAGAAAAAGAAAAAGAAAAAAAAATAAATAAATAATGCTAGGTTCCAAAATTCCAATGCAAATAGGGATTACTGTGTTAAATAGGCAAGTCAGTGAATGTCAAATACATGTATGTATTCTGACTTTAAAATTCACCCTGTCACCTCGTTTTAAAGAAGCTTTTTAATCCTCTCCCTATTTCTTGCTTTATTAGTAATATTTCAGTAATTGTTATAAAACTAAAGATGGCATAAAATTTTCCTAATCATGTATGAAGTGATTTCCATATCCTTTCAACATTTTGCAAAAAACTGAATCTTTCTCCTGGCTGGATCGTGCTCCCACACTGCAGAGCGCCTCATCCCTTGCCCTGACTGCTCCCATCATGTAATGGCTCACTACCTCAAAGCCTGATTAAACCTCTTGGCCAGCTGGTGTCTACAATTTATTTCATCAAAATCAAGGAGCGATCATAGTCAAAACAAACATGGGTTCAAATGTAAACAGTATACCCAGATGAATGAATTATTCATGTCTTCCCACCATTGATTAAAAAACAAAAATGCCTAAGTCCTTCCAGGAGTGCCAGGCAAGGATGTAATTATAGGTGGAGATTACTGTCATTATTATTATTTAGCACTTTATAGGGTACTTTATTTGAAAAGTGATAATGTTTTAAGACTTAAGTTATTTAATCTCATGCAAATTAACTGGAAATAAAAATTTAAAGATACAGCAACTAATGTAAAACGTGTGGTCACCTCACAACCACCACCTCCCACCGATACCACATTCTTGCATCATCAGTCTTTGGCTTAAAGATCCAAATTCAAAGAAGCAATGTGTGGATAGTAGAGTCCTTTTCTTTCAAATTTTCACAAACATTGGAGATGCAGAACATTTTCCAGAGACTTTTTTATCTTTGAATTATTGATAGCAATATCAGGGAATTCATGAAATTTCTATCGCCCATTGAATAATTGTTCCTTTATAAACAAAAGTGGTTTGAGAGACAATGAAGTCATGAAGATTTTTTTTTATTTCTCTATGTGCTTTGCTGTAAACTAGCTCTTGATACGAATATGATTGACAGAAACATTCTTTTCATGAGTTAAGATCCCATACATCTGTAGTGTTCACAGTATAACTTTTAAATTCCCCCCACCTGTAATAAGAAAGTTTCTTAAAGTGTGTTTGCACACTGCATGCATAATGTTTGTGTAATACTTTGTGAAATGTCATGTTGCAGCATCCCTGGGTCTGCAGTTTGTGCCTATGACATGCTTGACATTGCCAATGTGTTTACTGGGAGATTCAAGGAACAGAAGTCTCCCGATTCCACCTGGACACCAGTTCCTGATGAACGAGTCCCTAAGCCTAGGTATGTGCTAATATTTATTTGGCTATTTTATACTTCTAGAAATGGGGGGAACTTGATCCTTTGACAGTGAACATCCTGTGAACTGTATTCTGGTATTTTCCTTGCTAGCCAGGCAGATACAGATGCCAGAACAATAGAAAGGCCTTGGAGACCATTTGCCTTCATCCCCTTAACCAAAATCCAGAATTATCTTATGGACATACAAAACGATGACTCTCTAGTCTCTTGCTTAACCTTTATGCATGTATTTTATCTAATGTAATAACAGAATGATAGGAACCATCTGATATAGCCAGTCCCATTCGCCTGTAATTGGGGAAAACTGAGGCCTAGAGAGGTAAAGTATATTGTGTAAATTCACATAACTAGAGAAATTATTTTTGCTTCCCTCAATTTTACAGACGGATCTCTCTAATAATGTATGAAATGTAAACGGTGTTTCCCTGGATTTGGGAATCAAGCTGGGTCAGAGTTGACTCTAAGACTCCAGGCTGAGGACAGAAACAGTGGACTATTAGGATATTTCTGTTGTGCCATGTTCTGTGTTAGTCACCTCTTTGCAAATTGTGCCCTAAAATTTCTCGCATGAAAGCCTATGGCCCAGAGACAATAGAGATTTCTTGGTCCCATGTAATCTTCCTTAGATCCTCCCAGGGAAACAGCTAATTCTAACTGAATACAAACAAGATGAAGCTCTACCCCCACTCCTGTGCCTTCCTTGTATGGGTTCCACATCCTCCACACATCCATTACCAAACTTGCAAACTAAGTTACATGGAAATAGCTCCACTGAATTTGCATGACCCAGGAAAGAAGCCTAATGCCTTACTTTTTCATTTTGCTTTCTAACTTTCTCCCCAAACCTCCCATCCTCCTGACATGAAATACCTATGAGTCTATGAGTGCATTTAATTGATCTAACTTAGACGCCGTGAACTACTATACTCCAAGGAAACCCTCATGTCAGCATTCATCTTCATCACCTGAATTAACTGGTCTGTTCATACCCTGCTGCTTGTGGAGAACAGACATAGTGAGAAAAACATGCTACTGCAATCTCTGCTAGATTCTCTAAGTCATGGCCTGGGACTGTGAACCACCTTCTCAATAAGCAGAAAGGAGAAGTTCAGGCAAAGGGATCAGGTTTCAAGGAATACCAGCTCTCTATTTGGTGTGTGAAGATGGTATCACTCAGCCATCACTACCAGGACACATTTTTAAAAGATTTTTCCACCACGGCAGGGCAGAGGACTTGCCCACATGCTTCCACACCCCTGCCTGGTCCCTGTTGTAGACATCAGGATGCATTCACTGGAAGGCTGAGTTGGCACCATGACACAGTAGACATGTGGCATGGAGGTAGGTCATGTCAACATCGTGAGAACCCCAACTCCTCTCCTGCACTAAGAAGCAACCAGGTACCTGGGCTCCTGGCTTCAGTGTTTCCCAGTCTGATTTTGCTGGGAAGTTCCTTCACTCCTGAAACCATAGATTTTCTTGTTCAAGTGCATTTTGCTATATTCAATTATGAGGAAATGAACTTGCAGGAAAGAATCTTTATTATAATTGATTTTTCATACCTGCCAAAATCACATAAAAATAAAAGCAGTAATAAAAAAAAGCCCCCAAATTCTGAGTCCCGTGTAATGAGAGATGGTTACACTGAGCCTTGCTAGTATGTATCCAGGTGACTTTCTGAACATCTTTTCTACACTTATGGAAAAAGTCAACTAACTCCTCTCTTTGTAGAACAAATGCCCCCCAAGAACCTCTTGCAGGGTTTTGAGTAAGTAGAGCCATCCCTGGGATATGTGCAGACCACAAACTCACTTGTTTAGAGCTCCATCGCTGTTTGCTGGGGTTCGTTTGTGCTTCTGGAAGCAAGCCAAGCTGCCCCAACATGAAGCTGAACTAAGCTGGTGAAGGCTCCTTTATGGAATGAGGAGGCAGCCCAGAGGAAATCTCAGCGTATTGTATTTGGTGGCATTCTGCATTGTTCAACTTCCTCCTCTTGCCTGTGGTACATTCTCTTTCATGCCAGATGCTTAGAGAAGCAGTTCATTGAAAGAATTTGCCATAAGGCATGAAATAAACCCCCTCCCTCCCACCCTTTGTTTCATTTTAGGCCAGGTTGCTGTGCTGGCTCATCCTCCTTAGAGAAATATGCCACCTCCAATGAATTTCCTGATGACACCCTGAACTTCATTAAGACTCACCCGCTCATGGATGAGGCAGTACCTTCCATCATCAACAGACCATGGTTCCTGAGAACGATGGTCAGGTGGGTGCCAAGCAAACCATGTCCAAAATGGATTTCTCTGACTTTGTTTCATGCTCATAGAATCTATCAGTGGTTCATGCTTTGAAATGCCACAAACATCTTCTGCTATCCTGGGCATTGATTCAGCTATGAAATGCTGGCAGGTTGGGTGGATGCCATCAAATCCCCATAGCCACATTCCCAGTGAGGAGAGTTCCAATATTTTCAGGCTAGTTGTACACATGCCAGCAATTAGAGGAAAGAAAGATATTTCCTTCCGGGTTAGCTCATTAATCCAGTCTGTGTAAAAATAGAGGAGTGGTGAAAGAGAACTAGTGATTGGATGTGGATACCTGTTTGGGTGGTTATGGTGGCAAAACATGCTGCAGATTTCACATGAGCATGGCCCCTGGATTATTAACTGTCAAACAGCATGTGTACCACATTTGCAGAAGTATGCCAGCATGAAGGGCTCATATTTTAGTATTAATTTTCTGAAGTGGTGGGCAAAAGAGATCTATAATAACATGAAGTATTCTTCCTTTTATTTATTTAGAGCTTACTTTCCAAGTACCAACCAAGTATGGCAGTCTTCAAACAAATGTTAATTTATCATCATTTTTATACCCTGTCTTTTTTGAAAGATATTAAAGTATTGCGATAGCTCTTGGCTATTAGATAGGAACCATGGTATATAATTTGCAGGAAGACTCATGATTTCTGCCATGGTACTTAGGATAAATACATGTCTATGGCAGGCTGAATAACCAAGGAATTTCAGAGAAATCATGCCCAGTAGAACTTATTCTAGGCACCCGGTTTGGGTTGCTTGTCATTATATATATTAATAGTGCCATCAACTCTCCACAATCAGAACTCTTACAGCCCTCTCTAACAATCAGAAAACTATCTAGTCTAGCATTTTGTTGATGAAAGCTTTGTACCTCAGAGGAAGAGTATGAAGAATGGTAGCTATTGCTTTTCAACCTTAAAAGGATTGTTAAATTAGTTCACTTATTATTTCTTATCCTCTCCATAGGAGACATCAGTCTTTCCTTGTTGATCATGAAAAGGATCATCGTTGAGTGGTTTCAGATGGTTAGGGGTATTTATTATGGAAGTTGGCCTCCACACACACATACCTCTTTGCTCCCCATTGGAGGCATACTAATGCTCTGCATATGGATATAAAGGACCAGAATAGCTTGAGAGAATTATTTATATGCATATATTTTTCCTGAGGTTATTATTGAAAGCTATGTCACAATTGAAGTGGAAAAGGGGACACTTATTGATAGACCAACAAAGAGATTAAACAATGTGATTCTATCATTTTTAGATACCGCCTGACCAAAATTGCAGTAGATACTGCTGCTGGGCCATATCAGAATCACACTGTGGTTTTCCTGGGATCAGAAAAAGGAATCATCTTGAAGTTCTTGGCTAGGATAGGAAACAGTGGTTTCCTAAATGACAGTCTTTTCCTGGAGGAGATGAGCGTTTACAACCCAGAAAAGTAAGTAGAGTGTTTGATCCTTTCTTAGTAATAATTTGTTTTGCTTTATGGCCTCCTTTCATTCAGAGAAAATCAAGATAGACTTCCATTTTATGCATTTGTAGGTGACTTTTCAAGCTGTTAGTAAAAAGATCTCTAAACACATTAAAAGCATTATTTTTTTTCTGGCCATTAATGTGTGTGTGTGTGTGTGTGTGTTTATAGATGCACATGTGTGTGCATGTCACAGAATATGCTTCACCTTTAGTTAGATCACATTGAGAGATCACCTTGTGAACTGGGAAGTGAGGTGTGAGGGTGGTGGCAGCAAAAAGAAAACTGCTCCAAAGAACCTATGAATGATATTATTATGCCCCATAAAACTAGATGCAGTTATGATGGAGTAGAAGACAAAAGGATTATGGGCATGCAGCTGGATAGAGCCAGTAGCTCTCTGTACGTCGCATTCTCCACCTGTGTGATCAAGGTTCCTCTTGGCCGCTGTGAACGACACGGGAAGTGTAAAAAGTATGTATTTTGCTACATTGACAATTAGAAAATTCTGCTATGCTTAGAAAGGAGTCCTAGGTAGCTGACGATCATCTTCTTCCCACAGAACCTGTATCGCCTCCAGAGACCCATATTGTGGGTGGGTAAAGGAAGCAGGTTCCTGTGTTCATCTGTCACCCAAAAGCAGGTAAGGAGCCTGAGGTATGGGAGAGGTCAGAGTGGCCTTTGGCTGTGACACATTCTAGATGTGGGATTAACTGCACTCACTCACAACACCAGCACTCAGCCTTATGTGCACACACCTCAGCCACAGGACTGTCGGTGTTATCTTTCCTTTCCTCATTTCATAGACTTCCTACGACATCAGATGTGGCAGATTTCCAACTGAATAATCACCCTCACATGATTAAAAACACACAGAAAGGAAACACAGTGGGCTTCAACGTATTCCCTGGAGAGAGGGACAAGAAGGTGCCTGCCTTGATCATCACAGTGCAAGAACAGCAGAGAAAAGGAGCAATGGGATACCAATTAGATTAGTGAGGGGTTTGTCTAGCCATTGCAAAAACGACTCTTATAATTGACTGTACAGGGCTGAGAAGAAATTGCAGAGCATTTGTTAAGCCACACATTTATGCTGCAAGCATGGCGTATACATCCAATAAAGCTTCCTCCTCTGCCAAAGAACAGTTGACCCTATTACTCGTTAGGCAGTCAATCAATTCTTGGCAATTCTCCAGTTAGTCAGCTAGGACAGTCTACCACGCCTGTGATTTTAGTGTTTAAAATTGCTAGTTTTAAATACTTAAATGGTATTGGCTAAGACCTTTCTTTTTATGTTTTGACCTCAGTAGATGTGAAATCCAAAATAATAGTTGGAAAAATATTCAATTCATCTTTGACAGGTTACAGCAACTCAAGTAAGGTGCCATATGGCAGTACAGGGCTTTCCTTCAACAAAGCTATCCCTCGAGCCTCCCCAGATCCAAAGGGCAAACAACCATTTTCACATAGCTCTGAGCCTCCTTTCCTATTTTAGAATAGCTAGACAAATTAATAGAAGGGCATAGCTGATGATCACCACCTGCATAATTTGAGGACAAGTATTCCCATAAACACATATAATGATAACTGTCAAATCTGACCTAGAAACTTGACTTAAGCAAGGAGTTGACTCACTATATATTATTAGAGCAGCTTTGCTAGTAGCAATGTTGTCATATTAGAGAGTTAGAAATTTGTGTCTTTTCGTGAGATCTTCCAGGTAGAGGAGAAAGATCATAAAACCTGGGGAGGGAAGCTAAGAAATGACTTACCTTTTCTTGTGTATTCAATGTGTGAACAGAGATATAAAGATATATTATGAACTATTTTTAATCAACACCAGAACTCCAAAATAGTTCCTTTAAGGGCTGCATACATATTTCAATGACTGGCATTGCTCAAAACATGTGGAACTCTGCTTGGAGAGTCAGCTTCAGGGCCTGATGAATACTGGCTTTCATTACCACTAGAAATCTTTATCCTTTGAAGATGAATTTGATTTTTAATGCAGCAAAAGACATTAGAAACTAAACATGATGGATTATTAGATCAAGGTGTGACATTCAAAACAGTTTATATGGCTTACAAATAAACTCTGAAGGCAGTCACAATATAGAAATTTCAAGTGTATTATGGGAATAAGCCTTGTCCAAAAAAGGGCAGATTCCTTTGGCTGATACTAATGTGTTTTATTTTAAAAATCAAAATATTAGGTATTATTAAAATTGATTTTGTTAATGTCATATAGCTTGTACAACCCATTGGTGGCCTTAATGGACTTATAAGAACATGGAGCATGCATGGGTGTAGATTCCTGAGGACTAGGACAGGGCTGGCAGTGAGCAGAAATCCTAAATGGTCCTAGCACAATGCACCAACAGGTTTTGTTTCCACTCAGGCCCCACATATCCACTGGCCATTTGTACCTTTGAACACTTCAATATACAAGTTTCTGCTAGGCAAAGAAATAGAAAAAGGTCTCGGAAGGCAAGAATAATAGTGGAAGAGAAACTAGGGAAGAAAAGGCTCCTTTTTAATTTATAGTCCTCTGCATTGCTTATATGAAGAGTGTTTTTTTTTAACATCTAAACTTTTTAAATGTTTAAGAAATGCTCAGGGAACTAGAAAAAGAATGTAAATAGTTTTACAAACTAATTAACTCCCTGAATAAGATCTGAATTAACTGCTTAAACCATGGATTCTCTTTGGAGATTCACATACGACTCATTTCTATAAACTTCAGAGATAAATTTTCAAGCTGTTATCTATTTCTTTTTTGCACCTGCCACTCGGTTTATCAAACTGTGTTACTTTCTTTCATGAACTTAACACTCATTCCTGAATCATGCTCAATTTATTTATTGTGTTTGTTTCTGTCTTTCTTTGTCTTCCTTTTTTTTAAAGACTGACTTTTGAGCAGGACATAGAGCGTGGCAATACAGATGGCCTGGGAGACTGTCACAGTAAGTAAAGCTTTTTAATCCATGTTCGTCTTTGAGTGAAGATGCTTTTATCACATGGCCTAGAAACATTATCCCACACATGGACTGAATGCAGCTGATGCCGAAACATGCATAAACAGAAATTGTCTTCTAAATATCAAGTAAAGAAAGTGGGGTGTGTAAAATCCAGTGTGGTCAATATTGTTGCTATAAATGCTGCCCCCCGGGGCTGGGGTTGTGGTTTAGCGGTAGAGTGCTCGCCTAGCACATGTGAGGCCCTGGGTTCGATCCTCAGCACCACATAAAAGTAAATAAATAAAACAAAGATATTGTGTCCATGTACAACTAAAAAAAATTAAAAATAAATGTTGGCACACATTTTGTGGAACAAATTCACTCTAGAAGATATTAATTATAGCAAAGCAGTAAGTTATGTCAGCATTTCCATTACAAAATGGCAGTTTTGTTGTTTTCTTTAAAAATGTGCTATTATACTGTTACTTTTAGCCAAATAATAATAAGATTGATCATTCTGCTCTAACTTTTTAATTGAGACTGTTATATCCTTTTTTGAACATATTGACTAACGAAAGTAATTATTTTTTTAAAAATAGATTTATGTATATTACCATTTGTGGTAGAAAAAACTTTCAGAAATAACTCATAAGCACAAAGTGATTCAAAATATCATTTTTATAGGAATTAGCTTACTGTGCCAATCTCAGAGTCCTCTGTTATTAAATGGTAGCATTTTATTTATCTATGACAACTAGACAGAATTACATATAAATTACAGTAATAATAGTACTGTCCTGTGTTGTTCTATGACCTGACTAATATCAATAGTCTCCTGAAAATGTTTTACTAATACTAATTTAAGGAATAATGCCAAGCTCTTAGAAAAATGTTTAGTTTACGATTTTTTTAAATGTTACATATGCTGAATTTCAAAACAACTTGCATTCACAATGGCACCAAAAATTATCTCCAAAGGGAATGAAACTGTATTACTTCTGATACTTGATTCTATAATGAAAATCTTGGAAATTATTCTAAGTCATATAGTCATGAGTATGAAAATTTCAGACTAACCTGTGGCCCAACTTTCTACCTTATGCTTTTTTACAGATCAGATATAATCAAATAAACAGGACTAATCACAAATTCTTTGCCCTATATAATTTTTTGTTTACAAGGATGGTGCAAAAAAAAAATCCTTATGTGTCTTCATATGCACAATTTACAAATTAAAATTAGCATAGGAGATAGTATCATCACCAAAATGTCTATGTCACATGCATATGTACCTTAGTGTGTAGTAGTGAGACAATATGAGGTTTGATCACTGGACCTTAATTATCTTAGTGCCTTATAGCTTAAGTTTTGGGGGAAACAGGTTTGGGGGTATATGTATGTTTAATTAACTCACTTTAGTGAACCATTTTCGTATTTTTATGAACTGGTGATATAAGCATCTGTAGAAAGATAGCAGTGTAGTTTTGGATTAAATCAGAAAATACATTAAGAATGTAAAGATTGCTGTGCCTCTAGAAAGTGTCCACTGTATCAATAGTCTCACACCCATATCTGTGTTCTCAGGCAGAGGAAGCTAAGGAAACCTCTGTATACAGCATAGGGGAGACCCAATCCAGTGATTTGCTTTTTATTCCCAGGGTCATTTCAACAGTCAAGCCCCTACGCCTGCCTTTGTTCTTCCTAGTGCGTCCCTGACCTTGAACTCCCTTCCTGAGCACCTTGGGGGGCTCACTCAGGGCAAGAAATGAGCTGCACCTCCACCTGCCTGTCATTCCCAAGGGCTTCTCTTCTCCCTGTGCTACTAGAACAGGAACTACTTGTATTAGACATACCTATTTATATATAGGTGTTCAGAGAGGAGTTGGGCAATTGGTGCATGATGACTCTTTAAAAGGACCTTAAGAGGAAATGAGGAGATCATAAGGAGCCAGTGTCAGAGGCTGTGTAACACGCTGAGCAAACTAGTGATCTGACCCAAAAACAGCACACACACATACATATGTTGCTTAAAAAGTGTGTGGGTTTGATTTTTTGTTTTAATTTCCAAACTGAAATCCCTGCTGAGTTGAGAACATTGTGATACTGGACTCTTCTTTCTAGCATGGTCATGAGAATGAGAAGAGAAAATATAAAGAAAAGTTCTTTCTTTAAGCATGTGGTGCAGTTGCTTCATATTTTATTCACATGCATGTCATTACCAAAACGACATTAAGTAGGACCTGAATTCTCAGAATCACTTGTGATCACAGTGACCATTTCCTCTGCTGACTCTTGGTTTTTCGCTGCCTCCTGGCAGTAACTTTGAGGAAACTTACTTGATGGAAGAGATATGGATATGTGAAATCAGACCTAGTATAAAGCACCTTAGGTTCTAAGCAGGAATTAAGAGCACTTACTCAGTATCGGGCTTGTGTGTTGGCATAGTTCTGATTAGCTCATTCCCACTTATTATGTAAGTCACACTAAGCAGAGTGTGAAACATCAAGTAACCTCCTCCTCCCTTTTGTCTTTCAGATTCCTTCGTGGCACTGAATGGTAAGGAAGATATTACTGTCATAATTTAATATCAGTGGAAATCTATCTGAGAAATCCTATTTCACTAATCCTCTTGAGCATTTTCAAACCTTAGGTTTCTTTTTAATTAATTTTTTATCCTCATTATTTTTTATAGACATTTCAACTCTTCTACCAGATCATGAAATGTCTTACAACACAGTGTATGGTCAGTTTATTGATATATATATATATATATATATACATAAATTTTTTTTTTTTTATTCTTTAAGTCACTTATACTGTGGTAGTTTATAGTTTCATTCCTAAACATCATGGACCAGATTCTTTGTTACTTCAGAGCCCCAATTCACTAAAAATTATTTATAGATTTCACTGTGCTTCAAAAACCACTCTGCTTATATGAGACAGTTGATGTGGGAGATTGAGTCCTAAATTTTTAATCCATATAACATGAAATATGCCAACCTTTGGGAATTTGGTGAATATATTTAATGAGTTCTTGAGGGAAAAGAAACTGCTTTTGGACATAAGTATATCCAAGATAAAAGAATATTTCTTATAACTAAAATAGACTATATAGCTCCTCAGCTGATAGAGAATACCATCCTGCAAAATGCTGGCTCTCAGAACTACCTTTCACAGGGGAAAATCTATACCAGGTATAGACACCAGGTTCTTATTAGGCAAAACTTTCCAATGTAGCATGAAATTGGTCATCAAAATTTAAGCTCACAAAAGTATGCATATTTAAACATATCTTCTTTCTTCAGAGAATATACAAGGAAGAGTGACGCAGTGGAAATGATATGCAAACAGGATTTATCCCATTGTTCTCAGACTGAAATACAGGAGCATTATATTAAACACAGCTACAAAGTCCATAAACAGAATATTCTGAACTCTTGGTGCAAAAAGTTGAGATGAAACCATTCCATTTAGATTTCTCAAATGTACCACCAAATATTTATTAAGTAAACAATCCATGTGTTTTTTAAAAATATCAAATGAAAAACATCTGTGCAATGGCAACTTTATGCTTTTGCATTTTAATGGTGACAAGAGTTCAGCTATTTATGGTTTGTATGCTTAAGATATGCAACAAAGGAATAGTGACAGGAGAGTATTTTAAATAAAGGGGTAGGTAATAAAATAGACTGGGACAATTAAGGCAAAGAAGGAAAAACAGAGGTAAGAAAGGAAAATAATGAGGACGTAAGATTCAAAGAAATGGTTGAAGATGGCTACAAATGTGTTCAATAGCTCCATGTAAATGTTCACTCCCTGGGTCTGATTAGCATAAATAAAAAGCCTCTTTGAAGTCTTAAAGATCATCTTATGAATTGGAGCTGTACAATATGGGAAAACGTGCCTGGTTTCTCCTGACCAGCCCGCTGTGAAGTGAGGCAGGATGGAGTAGGTGAGCCCACAGAATTCATCCACCTTTAACATTCTCTCATCTACAATTCAAACCAGAATATTGAACACTATAGACTCAAAAAAAAAAAAAAAAAATCACTCAGGAAGCACATGTCATCTAGCTTAGCCTTAAGCCTTCAAAAAGAAAACCAACTTAGCATTTGCTCTTTTTCCAATATCATACTTTACAATCATTTCTGATAATTGAATAATCTTTATCAGATATTGAGAAATTCAGACCTTCAAACTAACTGAACCAGCAACCTCCCTAACATTCATCACTTATCCTAAGACCAAATTTAACTCCCAGGCAATTTCTTATATAGATAGAATAATTAAACCATAAAATGCTCTCCATGAACAAAAATCACTCTTCAAGCTATGGCTTTCTCTCTTATTTCCTTTTCAAAGGAAAGGTACCTTTTAATTCTTCCATATTAACACTTTAAAGGACAATGTCCATTCATCCTTATCTCTTGAACTGTGGTTTCTGTAATGAAACTAAAGATTCAGAATTTTCCTATCAGCTAATGATTCTGCCCATTTCAGGCCGAATATATTCAGTGTGAAGGCGTTAGGTGATTAATTGACCATTAAAATGAATGATGGTCTAGACAGGATGTACAAAAATACAGGAGACTTTTGAGACATATAAGCTATTATAAGAGATACCTATTTCAAAGTTAGTAAACCCAGAAGAGATTTAATTAACTCATCCAGCAAATATTTGGTATGTGCGAGGCAGTGGACTAGATGATATATTTGTAGCATCAGAGGAAAGATCAGATTGCTATTTTTATGAGCACAAATATAGACAAGAGAGTCAATCCCAAAGTCTAAAGTGCACCCAAGCTGTTTCTAGCTGTGTCCTTTGCATGTCCTGCATTCTGTGGCTAAGTGCAGACCCATACAGCAAACCCTAAACCACAACTGCCCATCTCAGGAAAAAGGATCATTTCAATAAACCATGCAAGCTTTCTATTGGCAAAAATTGTATGCAAACCAGTTACAAATACAAGTACCCCTTTTAGTGAATTGGGTCCTGATTTTTTTCCTTCTCTCTCCCTCTTTATTGATTTAGTGTCTCTTCTTTTATGTCTATTTGACTACAATCATTGTTAATAGGTTAGAGTAGTTCAAAGGGTCTCTAACCTCTAGAATCACAATGACTTGTAGATACAGAGAAACAATGTGATGTGCTCAACTTAACTTTTTAAATATATCTATTTCTTTGTGTTTTTGAAGTCATGTAGCATAAGTTCTGTTGATTAAAATGTGACCTTTCTTATTGGACTAACAAGACAAAATTGTAGGTTGTAAATCTATTGACATATAACACCATAGCCACAAATGATTGCCTATTTTTGTAGCACTATTTTGGTTACAAAGTCTCTTAGGCAATGCATAAGGATAATATAGCCTCTAAAATCAAATTATAAGAAGGAATATAAGTGATTTCCTTATAACTTTTTTTTTAGCTTGAGGATATAATAGCACATATCTTGATTCAAACTGAGGACTGCTGCCTAATATTTTAATGTGGTGATTCTAAAATTTTTGAGAATCAGGTATTGCTTTCCCTGATTGTTTAATTCGCCACTAGCATGCGTTCCTTATCCTCAAGCACAAGTTTAAAAGATTATAGACCTCATGCAGTTCTGTTTTTTTTTTCTTTTGAATAAATCAGATACATTGTTTCTCTAGATTTACATATAGAAAATTGAGATGTGGTGGGTATTAGACTAACGCTTTAGTGATAGGAAGAAGAGGCTGATTTCTCACATTTGTGTAAAACATTTTCCTACCTAACTACCATCTGGTCCGCATTAATTTCCTCTCATAGCCATAGCTTTCCATTACCAATGAGTTTTCCATGTATTTGCAGCATATGGTCCAGGAAATCTTTCTACAGAGAATGTGTCCCTTAGGCATATATTTCCCCTAGATTACCATATTAAGAAATGTTCTCCCTAAACCATACTTATGGCATTACCATAAAATTGCCCCTTGAACACACTTAAATTGAAAGTGTTCAAAATGTATATCAATTCAGGTAAAAGAAATTCTTGCTACTTGGAGAGGAAGATTTTTCCTTCCTCCTTTTTCCTATCTCTCTACAAAACTATTTCTAATTGTTTGCTTATACTGAGTGCTAAATTCTCTCTTAGGCTGGCCATATATTTTACTAAAACAGTCTTGAATTCAGGAGTGGAAAATAGAAGTTATGTTTTAGACCTCGATGTAAGCAAAGAGGAAATATAGGAAATTCCATGTTTCCCTTTCTCAGGCTGATTTCCCTGCCCCTGTTCTCTTATCAGTATTAGGAGATGAGATGTGAAACTCAGAAACATAAAAACAAAAAGTCTAGAAGCAAGCATTCCTTGAGTCTTAAATGCACATATTTTTAGCAGTGGGATATGAAGCAGACTATTTCAACAAAGCGGATGTTTGAAGCTGTGTGGGAGCCACACAAGTTCTGCATAGAAAGTGACTTCTTAAACATTACCAAAGCTTTATGGCAGTATTTAAGTGTGGTGTTTCCAGAGAAATCATCATAGCTTAGATGAGCCACTTGGCTTGCTTTACCCACCAAGCAAAATCCTAAAATTAAAAAAAAAAAAAAAAAAAATTTTAAATGTTTTCTGTAATTTGCAATATTATAGTCTCCCCGGGCTCCAACATTCAATAATAATTGTGGGGGGAAATAGAATGCAATGCATTTATCATTATTATCTCTCTTTCAGTATTTATTTATCATGCATACAATGATCACATACAAGGCTAGAGGTTTGGGAGTTATTGTGAATCTGCCCTACTTTCTATCAAAGGCACCGATTACACATGCACAGTAGTTGTCCTGATGTCTTTTTAAAAACTGTTCCAAGAGACTGCTATAGGTAAAATGGTTTAATAAGCCAAAGACTCCAGTAGAAATTCACAGGGTGGTTATATTTCATTTCTACCAGACAGAATAGGTAGTAGGGTTTCTTTAAATCATTGTGACAGCTTAGATCAAAGCACCTGATAGAATCTGCATTCGATCTTGTGCAGTGATGGAGCGAGAGCCTACAGATGTGTTCACAGGAAATGTCCACTATATCTGCCGAAACTCCCTGCCTAGCCATTCTCCTGGCATTAGCCTATGGGAGGCTACTTTAAATCTCAAAATCTCTCTTTTTTCTGGTTTGAATCATTTCAATGAGACCTCAAAAACAACATCTCATAAATATAAGTCATGAAACTATGAAACTAACTTTATTGGAATAAAACACACAAGGCACAGCCATAACACATAACAATTGAGGCCTCCTTTCTAGTCAAAAAGAGGTGGAGGCAGATCCCTTTGGAAAGCAGGAACTCCTTCCAGAACAGGGAGTGCCTGTGAAGTTGAGCCCATGCTAAAGACAAGACATTCCATGCAGCCTGCACGGGAAGGGCTCAGGACAGTGGAGCTACTTGCGATAGAAAAGATACATCCACTACCACCATAAACCTGTCTCACCCATCATAGTGTCCCAGGGTGGACACTTTCTGTCTTTAATGCTGCCCTGGGGATGACCAGAGAAGGGCCACTAACATTTCTTCAGCCTCTAGTTTCAGATACTGTGCTAGATACGTTGACCATTATGTCACTTTATCCTCCCAACATTGGGAGGTATCCTTATCCCCACGGTGTTCGAAGAGACACTAAGTGGTTCCTGGGGCTCACCCCCACCATTACCTCCATTAATCCTTGCCATTTCTAGGGCCCTTTCCCCTCAGTCTCTCAGCCCACTCCTGGCCTCTGAGCAAAGGGAATGTGGGTCTCTCTGGTGATGTTTTCCCTAACTGTATTTGTGATAAAAACAGGGCACGCCAGTTCCCTCTTGCCCAGCACCACCACATCAGATGCAGCGGCTCAAGAGGGGTATGAGTCTAGGGGAGGAATTCCGGACTGGAAGGACCTGTTCGATTCACCTGACAGCACAGATCCTTTCGGGGCAGTGTCTTCCCATAATCACCAAGACAAGAAGGGTAAGGCCTTGGAAATGCCTCCTCCTTGGTGGGGAGAGTTGGGGGGGAAAGCGGGGAGGACTGTGTAACTGCTTCCAGCTAAGTCTAAACAGCATTTAGGAACCTCCAATGTACCACTACTGAAAACTTCTCAAAATTAAGACTGACAGTCCAATCTTCATATGAGGCTTGATCCTAAATTATTTCTGGACCAAAGAGAAACCACACAAAACAAATAACACTTCTCTGAGCTTCTTCCACCCAGAAGAGGTGTGGCCTGGCTCAAATCAGATGCTGGCTCCTGAGATCCCTTTCCACTCCTCTCAGTCACATGCTATGATTTTTTTTTTTTTTTTTTTTTTGGACCCTCTCTCTTCCCACCATAATGTGATGGAATGCCGTGCGGACTTTGGCAAGTAAATGTAATCCAAGTAAAAGCCCATTAATCAGTGAATTGAGAAATAGCCAGACAAAGTCTTTTCTGGCTGGTAGCATCTCTCCCTCTCACATGGTGCTGAATTTGAATAGGGCCGTGGTCCTCAGACTACTGTAATTGCCCTCAGAGGACAACAGCTGAAACAAAAATATGTCATTTAATCAAGCAGAATTGCTATGCATTTAAAATGGAAAGGAAGCCATGCTAAATGAAAGGGACTCTACTGTGAACTGTCCTAAATTCTCCTTTGCTTTCTTTGCTTGACTGCGGACAGGAAATGTCATCTCTTTTTTCGCCATTTGCTGCTTCTGGTAACACATCCTACTTCAGTAGCAGCTGCAACCAAAGAGGCCTTTACTTGTCCAAAAAACAGTCTTGTAAATCAGAGGCTGAAAAGCCCAGTTATGTTGCTGAGCTGTTTTCCCCCATTCAGAATTGTTAACTTCTATATGTTTTCAAGAATTTCATGCAAACTGGGTGTGAGTTTTGAGGGCAGAGCAGCCCCCATGACCCCTGAAGACAGTCTCTGTCGTGTCCTCTCCCAGAGTTTTCTGCACACACATATCTCCATCTTTACTTCAATAGAATATTTCCTGAGCAGACCCATGCTGAAGTTTCATCATGCTTTTTGCTTTCCCTTTCCTGAGAGTGCTCTGTACTCTCCTGTCCTATTTCCGCAGCCAAAATGTAAAGATCAACCCAACCCCTTTTATCTTGCTCTTGAGCATGTCCCCTTCACTGATTTTATTATTCTTCTATAGACTTTCACTCTTAATATACCCTGCCTCAAATCTATTTAAAGGGAAAAAAAAAGAGAGAAAGAAAGTAAAAGCAGGTTTTGTCTCACCAGCCTCTCTGTTCTTAACATCCCAAGAAAGCAACCAATGGAGGAGAAACTGCCTGACAGGCCACAAGCCCCAGCATGTGCCATTATTTGTGATGTGTGGCTCCAGACCTCAGATGTATTGGTCTTCTTGGCTGTGTTCAAGAAGAGACAGCTTAGTAAAAATCACTTTGTTTTTGCCCACTGTGATTTTTTTAGAAAAACAGTCTTTCCAGTAAAGTCCTAACTATGTCAACCAAATATCTAGCTGTTGGTTGCAGTAATTTACTCTTCACTGAGAGGGGTGGCATGGATTTTCTCCAATCGTTAACTCCCCAAAGGAATGGAGGTTCTCAAAGAGTCCAATTAACACTTTGACAGATTGTTTGAAAATTCGGCATTGTTCATTCTCTTGGGTCTTATTGTGAATATTGACAAAGCTGGAAGCAGGCTGCATATTGTCAAACAATGGTGGCAGAGGTGATTGCATGGGTGTTTAACATGATCACTGTTCTTGTGCTATTAACTCCTTGCCTTGCCCTGTCAAATTTGAGTTTGATTTTGACAATTGATGATATGTTTGATGGGGCAATGCCAATGAGTTTGTTAAGCAGAAATTTGAAAAAGATATAGCTGAGTGTTCCTTTTACCATGATTTTTTTTTATGATTTTAATTTCCATTTTGCTCTGAATTATTTTTTTTTTCTGTTTACCGTTCATGATTTATTTCAAGCTTTTGTTTTCGTTTTGCCAAGCACTATGTGGTATGACTTGGTGATGGCGTTACTCTGTTGGAAAAGTCTTGGTCCTTTTCTGACTCATTATGATGTCCCTTAACCTGAACCAATCTGTGACTCCCTTGCTTCTTTTCATTCCCTGACGTTGGTGCCTTAATGATGTCACACCCGTGTGTGCAGCATCTCCTGGGATGCGGGAGTTCCGTGGGTTTCCTTGATGGCCTTTTGATGGGTGTTCTTTTCACTGGGTCGATTGTCTCATGGGAATGTGACATTTGTGTGCTCCAGCTTTGGAAGCTAAATATACTCTGGAATTGTTTCTAAAATATTCCTACATTTCCCTGCTAAGCAGAAAGTGTGTCTGCTGACCAACGAGCTGAGGAAGAGGCAAGTGTCCAATGCCCACTGAAAAAGAGCCAGTGAGCAAAATGAGTTCAACAGCTCTCGTCTGCAGATCTGTTGATGCCCCGGGCTGGTCCCCTTGTCTGCCCCAGTTCGTGCTCCAAACAGTTCTGCATTTCCAGAGTATGTTTGCTTGCCTTTTTCTTTCTTTTCCTTGCTGTGTCTTTTGTCTTAATTTAATTCCCGTGCGTCCTTCTCATTCTGTCCAAGCACTGCTCGCACCTTGCCGTCTAACCCCCTTCTGCTACCATTGTTCTTAGCCTCCCCCTTTCACAGTAATAGGCCCAAAGCCCCCTGCCCTCTATGGAACATTCCAAGGCTCTTTCCTTCTAAACTGGGATCAGCATTTGGAAGCTGTACGTATATATAGTTCTCACTAACAAAGTGTAGGAGGAGACCTGCAAAGCATACAGAAGCATTATCATAGAAAAATGAAGTAATTTTCTCTCTCAGTAACTGGCCTTGCCCTTCATTACCCTACTGGCCTTGTCTAATGTCTCTTGTCCTTGCTGCTTTTCTTTAAAATTGCCTGATATCTTTCAAGCCCTGGATTCATTAGTAAAAAAACACAGTCGACCGCTCTGTTTTTATCTCTGGGTCCCTCGATGTCTGGAGCCTCCAGAGCCAGCCCTTTAATCACCAAGCTGATAAATTAGATGCAGCCCTGACTACTTCTTTCCTGGTTTGGCCACATCTAAAAATATATATTATTTATTCATCCAATAACTATTGAGGTGGTAATGGGTAGTTACATAGGGGCTCTAATTACATGTAAATAAGAAAGAAAACCCCATTTATTTTTAGATCTGGCTTATTCCCCACCTAACAGCAAAAGAAATAAGAGCTTCTTTTTTTAGGTTAAACAATCCTGAGAATGAATAGCCACTCCTGTGCCTCTTGTTTCTTACCAAAAGTAACAATGTCATAAAACTGATTTCCAAGAAGACTGCAAGACTGGGGAGGAAGTTAGCCTGGTACAAAGTTGCTAGGACTGCTGTGTAGCAGAAATGTAAAATCTAAACCCCAACTACTGCCATTAGGACACAGCACAAATCCTGAATGGAAGAGAAGCCCATATTTCTGATTTTGTTTTATAGCGTTCTTGTGTGCTCTCAGAAAGTAGATGAAATAGTAAATATAGAAAAAGGAGTTCTCATTTGCTGAAAAATGCCAGAATTGTATGCTTATATAATTTAGGGAATCTTTAAAGTGAAGTATTATCACATAATTATATTTGGGTAAAAGATACGGCCATTATAAATAAGGAAAGCATGGAGAAACAGAATTTGAGTTTGAGGTGACATGAATAATTTAAACCAAAATGTAAATGTTGACTATGTTTTAATCAATGTGCAAGCTGTTTGTGTAAGCAATTTGTAGTTGGGAAAATAATATTCCAGTAAGATTCATAAAGTCTGTAAAGGATGATGAGCACGCTTAGTTATTGTATAAATCACAGAGTTTATCAACAATCCTCTCTATAGGTAATTACTTACTCCTTTCACGTACAGTGGCCTGTGACTGTCTTGCCTCAGTGGTAAGTGCAGCTCCGGACTTCATGATTTAGGGGCTCAGGGACAGCATGGTCTTCAGGAATACTGAATCATGTGGTAGAACTTTATACCTTTTGTGGTTCTCTTTCAGTGTGCTTGATTAGGTCAAGGAATAAGTCTCAGTTTGGTCCTTGATCATTAACAGCTCCCTAAACTTGCCACCACCCCTGTTTGACAAAGAGAGTATGGGCTTTAGACTGCTGCTATATCTTAGAGCTGGATCCAGCTGGAATTAACATTGTTTCACTTTCAGTTAATTCTATTTTTATAGTTACCCTCTATCTATGAAAAATGACACGTGTTTCCATTTATGTCAGTGTTGTAAAGTTTCCATTTGAAATACATTTTAAAGACGATTTAAATACTAAGTACATAGTAATGCAGGAGGTAGTAGAGAAATAAAATCTTAAGTAAATAATTTGGTATGTGAGGCTCATTGGCATGGTTAACCTTGTACAATTAGCAATTCACTGAGTAAAGTTTAGGTATCTCTGGTCTAAAGCAATTAAAAGGATCTTGTGAAGATTAAACTACTACCAAGATCAGGAGACTGAGGCAGGAGGATCACAAGTTCAAGCCCAGTCTGGGCAATTTAGTGAGACCCTGTCGCAAAAGAAAAAGTAAAAAGGGCTAGGAATGTAGCTTAGTAGTAGAGCACCTCTGGGTTCAATCCCCAGTAGCGAAAAAAAAAAAAAAAAGGCAACAGCTGAGCATAGTGGTGCATGCCTGTAATCCCAGAGATTTGGGAGGCTGAGGCAGCAGATTACAAATTGAGGCTAGCCTCAACAATGTAGCAAGGCCTTATCTCAAAATTAAGAAGGAGTGGGGATGTAACTCAGGGGTAAAGTACCCCTGGGTTCAATCCCCTGTACCCTACCCTACCCGCAACACACACACACAAAGAAAAACTATCAAGAACTTTCCTTCTGACGCTCGGAAGGATGACAGTCAATGACCCCAACCCTCTGTTGGTTGGGCACTGCAAAGCCAAGCATATGCATGCATCAGTCTGAGTGTTGAGATTACATCATCCTGTGCTCTTCGGATTCCTTTTCAACCTTCCGAGCTTT